ATTTATCGCAGATAGACACATTCCCCGAAACTGGATATGCGTCTCCTCAACAGCAAGTCGATGTCATTGATTTGTGAGGCTGCAGAGGCTGGGACATAATTGAAGTTTGCAACCAGGTCCCCCCTGTGTGTTCGAGTGTTTGACTTGTGGGGACAGAATACAGCGGGGGCTTCAATCTCGGATGCAGGTGACAGGCAAATCAAAGACCGGCGGCCCTGGTGTTTGAAACGGAGTGTCACAAAGTCAATTGCAGCAATGTGACCCAATCACAAGCACAATGTAACGTGACAGTCAACAGCAGAGCTTTTCCTTTGGAGCCTAGCTAACATCAAAATTATAAGGATGCAGGATCGCTCATGGTCAGTGTCTAATACTTGTCAGTCTGCTCAAGCATACAATTACAGCGACAAATTTCAATTTGTGTCGCAGTTTTGTCAGCGTCCAGCATCCAACAGGACTAGATATCCTCACATTTCTCAAATAATAGAGCATAGTAATGAGAAGTGGTAAATGAACGCCATCTAGTGACGTTATTTTGAAGTATCCTGGAAAATCCAGATTAAACCGTTTGCTGGATTATAGTAACGGGTTTCTAGCTGGCTATTAGCTGGTCATACCAACAGCTGCTGAAGCTTTATTATTTTATTTTATTTTACATTGTCAACCAGCTAATGATCAACATACCATCTTAAATTTGAGTTTGTATTAGTAGCTATACAATATCATTATTTTAGGTCAGTAGAAAGATAGTGTGAATAGAATTTGTTAAGATAAATGTAACTGTTTAAACCCTTATTTAGTATCAAAAGATAGCATACAAATATAATAGTTCCTGAATAGCAATAGAGTTTTAAAATGACTGGCACAATGTAATATTTTTTTTTGTTTTTTGTTTTTGTAAACGTGGTTAATAAACCACGTTTACAAAAAAAAGGCGCTTGTAAACGTGGTTTATAGCGTATTAATTAAGACGCATCATTGCAGATCTTTTAGAACTCAATGCTGTGATATTAGCTATATAGAAAAATATGATCGCACGTTGCCCTCTGCTGTCTGTTGCGCGCAGTCACCCAGAGAAACGTCCAGTGTTGTTTTCTTTGACTTGATTTTGAAAGTACCTTTACAAAAATGCAATAACTGTCAACTACAAAGATATATATGACTGCTAGATCATTATGAATTATTATGGGGTCGTATTGAGAGAGAAGAAAATATATAGGCCTATATATATTACTAATTAAATGATATAGGCCTACTAATATAGACATATTAGATAATAGTATTTATTATTTACTAGGCCTATTACTATACTACTACTATACTACTACTACTAATGAAGGTATGTTCCTAACATTACTCTACACCAGGGGTGCCCAATCCACCGGTTTAGTTCATTTCCAGCCCTGCTCCAGCACACCTGCCTGTAATTACCGAGCATTACTGAAGATCTTAAAGGGGTCATATGATGTTGCTTAAAAGAACATTATTTGGTGTATTTGGTGTGATGAAATGTGTTTATGCGGTTTAAGGTTCAAAAAACACATTATTTTCCACATACTGTACATTATTGTTTCTCCTCTATGCCCCGCCTTTCTGAAATGCGTCGACTTTTACAAAGCTCATCGGTCTGAAAAAGCGAGGTGTGCTGTGATTGGCCAGCTATCCAGTGCGTTGTGATTGGCCGAATACCTCAAGCTTGTGACGGAAATGTTACGCCCCTTACCATATTGTGATGCCTTGTCCCAACCGGAGCAATGAAACAAAAACATTAAAACCCATTATAAACGAGGCATTTGTTGCATCTGTGGTGGGACTGTGGAGAGAGTGAGCAGCACCAAGTTCCTGGGTGTGCACATCACAGAGGATCTCTCCTGGACTGACAACACCACAGCACTGGCCAAGAAAGCACAGCAGCATCTCTACTTCCTCCGCAAACTGAGAAGAGCCAGAGCCCCGGCCCCCATCATGTGCACCTTCTACAGAGGCACCATCGAGAGCATTCTGACGAGCTGCATCACTGTGTGGTATGGCGCCTGCAACGCGTCCTGCCGCAAGTCATTTCAACGCATAGTGAGAGCAGCTGAGAAGATCGTTGGTTTCTCGCTCCCCTCCCTCCAGGATATTTATGGAACCCGTCTCACCCGCAAAGCCCTCTGCATTGCAGGTGATCCCACCCACCCGACACACAGCTTCTTCAGTCT